AAAATCGGAGGCCAGGTGCCCGGGGTTGCAATGCCTACCTTACAGCCAAGGGCAATGAGGCTCAGACACTTGGGACTGTTCCTGTCCCAAGGCTGGGGCCTGGCTGGCTGGCACACTGGCTTGGCAGTCAGGCCATTTGGGGTTCCGGGCCCTGCTCCTCTCCTTCCGAGCCCAGAGCCATACTTGGGTCTGGAGTAGGTTGGCAAATGCAGCTGACAGACTGTGTGCAGCTTGCTAGGTATGAATGGTTTTTATGTTTTTAAATGGCTGGGGGGAAAATCAGAAGAAAAATATCTCGTGTTATATGAAAATTACGTACAGTTCAAATTCCAGGGTCCATAAATGTTTATTGGAACATAGCCATGCTCGTTTATTTACACATTGTTGTGGCTGTTTTCCTGCTGCAGAAGCAGAGTGGAGGAGTCACAAGAGAGGCTGCATGGCCCACAAAGCCTAAAACAGTTCCTATCTGGCTCTTTACAGGGAAGGTTTGGCAAGCTCTGGTCCAGAGCAGTGATTCTGACTTGAGCTGCATCAAAATCATTGCCCGGAGGGCTTGTTAAAACACAGGCGGCAGGGCCTCATCTTCAGGTTTCCTGACTCAGCCAGTCTAGTGCGGGGCCTGAGAACCTGCTTTTCCGACAAGCTCCCAGGTGGTGCTGGTGCCTGAACCGCACCTAGAGGACCTTGGTTTAGAGGAACTTGGGTCTTCAAAGCTGATGCTCAGCCCTGCCCTGGAAGCTCACAGCCCACCCAGGGAGTGGAATGGAACTCGGGGAGAAGAGAGGGAGGGCCAATGAGCTGCCACCATCCAGGCCGCATCCCCGCCACCGTCCAGCGGCCCCTCCTCCACCTGTCCTTCCCCTGGTGTCTGCTCCCCCCTGGTGGCGGCAGGCCTGGGCCTTGCCTGGCAGCTCTGCTTTCATTGCCCAGCCCTCCATTTGGAAGCACATTTCAAAGCCTTCAAGCTTTGCACATCCTTTCCCCTAGGGAGTCCACTTCTAGGCATTTAATTCAAGAAAAGAATCAAGGATGTGCAGCAGGATGTTCACAGCTGCGCTGTTTGTTTGTTGGAGGGTAAAGTAGGGGCAGCCACTTGACATGGTCACACAGCTAGTAAGAAGTCCAGGCAGGACTTGAAGTGGAGCCTGTCTGACACAAGAGTCAGTGACTCAACTGCTACACAACACAGCCCCGCAGGGCGCCCCCTGCCTGCCACAGGGAGCAGCGACTGAGAGCATGGACTCCAGGGCTGAGCTGATTTGTGTGGAATCCCTGTCTTGTTACTTACCAGTTGTGTAACATCAGGCAAGTCACATAACTGCTCTGCCTCAGTGTTCCCACCTATAAAAGGGGAACACAATTGTAAAGTCTATATGAGTTAACATGAATGTGGAGCCCTGGGCCCTGGGTGAGCTGTGATTATTATTACGTAAGCCCTCACCTTCCTCCTTCTTTGCCCTTTGCCCTCGTTTCCTTTTTGTCAGTGGCTCAAAGCATTGTGGGTCACTGGGAGGGCACGATGGTCAGGACTGACTGGGGCAGAGGTGAGGAGGCTCACGTGGGGCACCGTAGACAGGGGGTGGCTGACATTTAGTAGGGCCCACCCACGCTGCTCCGAAAACCGCCCCACCCCATGGGGCTGGCTGGGTCCCTGTAGTCTGGGCAATAGGTCACAGAGCTTAACACTGGGTTAAATAGACCTGGATCTGAATCCTAGGTCTTCTGTGTGACATGGGCAAGTAACATCTCTACGCTGAGCCTCATTATTCCTATCTGTAGTGTGGGAGCAATAACAATTAGAGGAGTGTTTCTTAAAGTGTGGTCCCCAGGGGGCAGCAGCAGCATCGCCTGCGAGCTCAAGAAACGCACATTCCAGCACACCCTCCTGGGGGCTGCGGGGCTCGCTGAGTCCAAGGACACTGGATAGAGCACCTTCTCCTCAGGCTTGTAGTGACTGTTCCTGGAGAAAACAGTTGCCAGACATTTAGCTTAATAATCGTGAGCTGCTATTACTGTTACCGGCTCTCGGCTTCCTGGCCTCCGCTGATTGTGCCAGGAGTATCCTTGCTCCAGAGAGGACCAATCAGATCTCCTCTCCTGGGTTCTGGAGACTGGATGTCACTTCTATGAGAGGTAGGAGCTGACCCAGTGGTCAAGGATGTCATTGGAGGGAGGAAGGCAATCCATTTTTCCCCACTTGCCATAACAATTGAGAGGGACAATCTATAGTGACAGACTCAGAGCCCAGAGGTCTCAGAGGGAGACACGGCCACCCTGACTGCATCCGTGTCTGGATCCCATGTCTACTGAGACTGGGCCATCCCGCCTGCTCCTGGGTCCTGTAGGACACCTCTAGGTTCACCCTGCTTTTCTCCTAAGTTAGTTCAAGATGGTTTCTGTCACTTGGAATGAAAAGGGCTCTGTCATGTTGCGAGCTGGGAGTCAGGGTCAAGGTGAGTTTATGAAGGTCAAGGGTCACAAGCCTGATGGGACCCTCTTCCCTTCCTTCTTCTGCCCAACTGCCAGCTCAGCCAGAAGATCTGAGGTTCAACCCCATCCCATTGAGTATTAGAAGGGGGCAAAGGAGAAAGGAGGTGTCTGGGCAGCAATAGAAGAGGCAAGGTCCTGAGGCCTGTCTGACTTCATCACCTCTGGGTTTCCTTGTTTTTCTTTGTCCCAGTTCCTGTGATGGACTCTCAGCCACCTCCCCAGAGAGCTGTAGAGGTGGACCCTCCCCACAGGCTGGGGAAGAAAAGGTGAAGGATTTAGATACATTAATGTCCGTGTAGAGCAAGGCGTGTTTGACTCTGATGGGTGTGGCTGAACCTGCAGCGGGAGCCCTGGGTTTCTGGCAGACCCAGCAGCTGGTGGGAAGACACAGATGGGCACTGTTAAGTATCCTGCCGGGGAGAGGGGGGTAGATCTGGCAGAGGAAAGGCTGCGGGGTCAGAGTTTACAGGTCAGGAGTCAAGAGTGTTGGTCCTGCAGGAGAGCCAGCTGCTTGAAGCAGCACTGGAGACAAACTTTGACTTTTTGACTCTGGCCAGCGTTGCTTGGGTCCTTGTGGTGAGACAGGGTGCCCTGCGTGTGCTCAGCACCAGATCTGCCCCTGGGGCCAAGTGTGGCCACATATAGACAGGCCCAACCACAGAGGCTCAGTGATGTGGACTCCTGAGGTCTAATGGGATCAGATGGGTGTGGGGGGGTTGGGGGGGGCTGCTGGAGGGGATTCTAACAGGTGAGGGTTGCAAGGAGGTGGTAGGTATGTCTCCAGGTTTAGCAAGGGCTTTGAGAACAACAGAAGCAGGCACCAGTCCCTGCTGTGCACCTGCCAGCTGTGTGGCCCTGGGCAGATCACTTGCCCCCTCTGAGCCTCAGATTCTTATCTGTAAAATGGAGATAATACTATGTATCTCCTAGGGCTCCTGGTGGGAACTGAATGGGCTAATGTGCATAAAGCACTAGGTGCACAGTAACTCAGTTGTGATGTGGTTACTATTGTAACTTTTCCTACTAGATTCAAAGACCAGGCAACCAATTTGTATTGAAAAGGTTGAGCAGCAAAAAGAAGCCTCAGTCCCTGGAGGAAAGGCTCCAGGTCTCTGTTGAAGAGTCTGAGGTTGGGACAGGTCACCTAGGCCAGAGGTGAGGCCAGGAGAAGGGCCAGAAGCCATGCCCAATGAATGGGAGCCTGAGAAACAGACCAGCCACACAGGAGGCTGGACTGGTGCCATGACCCTACGTGATAGGCCAGAGTACTTTAAACCCCTCCTACTTTAGGTCAGGATTGGTCGACAGTCTTTGTGGAGTAAGGCTTAGTAGGAGGGTTTGCAGAGAGAAGGTGCAGGTCTGGGACTCTGGGTGGGTCTTATGCTAGTGGTCTTGAGTCTTGACTGAGTGGCTGCTGTGCATCTTGGGCTCTAAGGGGGGAGGGGGGTGGGGTGGCGGTGGTTCAAAGGTGGGTGGGAGAAAGTGCTCACAGCCTAGCTGGAGAGATGGGGTGGGAATGAGTGAGAAGCCAGATGCAGGCTGTACGTGCTCACACTTGAGTGAGTGGAAATGGGGTTAGAAGAGGTCAGAGGAGTGAGAGATGTGAGGCGGGGGGTGGGGGGGGTGGGGAGGTGTGGCTTGAATCAGCTTTTCAGGAATGGTTAGATAGGCAGGGTGGGAGGGGAGCAGCGCAAGTGAGGCCACCGAGGCAGGAACCACAGGGTTTGCCTAGAAGACAGAAAGGGCTCAGTTGGTCTGGTGTGGATATTTTCTTTGTTCAAAAGAGGGGGGAGTGAGACTGGAAGGCCAACCCATAGAGACCTTGAAGGTCAGCCTTGTGGGCTGGCACTGTACCCAGCTGGCAGTAGAGTGACATTTGTTCTCGTTGGATGGCTGAGCTTGTGCCAACCTAGGAAGATAGGAGTGGGGGCACATGGGGAGAATCAAAATGGGGAGGGTGTGGGCTTCAAGTCAGCTAAGGCTTGGGAGGACGGCCCCTTGCTCCCTTGGCTGGCGATATGTGACATTATAAGCAGAAAACCCCTTTAGTCGTTGGCCTAGACATGCCGCCTTGAAAGAGGTCTCAGGTCATCAGCGGGCAGGCCTGCCTTTGAACCTAGACCTTCTGTGGGATTGAGGACAACCTCTTCTTCCCCCCAGTCCTCAGTTTCCTCCTCTGTAAACTGGGCACAATGCAATATGTCTCCCAGGATGAATGTGAGGATTAAGTGAGAGAAAAAGGAAAGTGTCTAGCTCAATGCTTGGAGCATAGTAGGTGCTCCATAGATGGTGTTCCCTTCCCCACCTTCTACTGTGTGGCTGTCACAGAGCTGGACACAGAGTCTGGCCCTCCAGTCACCTTCACTTAGATAGCGTTCCTGTTGTCAGAGGTCATTCATCCATCCATCCATCCATTCCTTCATTCATTGTTCAGTCATTCAAGCTTCATTTCTGAGCATGTACCATGTGCCAAGTGCTGGGACAGAGTTGAATTAGACCACTGGTCCTTGGTCTAGAAGTTTATTTACTCATTCATTCAGCACATCCATGGAGACTGACTGTGTGCTTTGGCTGGGCAGAGGTGGGTGTTGGGGGTAAAGTGAGCATGGCTGGTGGGCAAGGGGGTGGGGAGGGGGAAGAATCAGCCCCATAGATCACACCTCTGGGTTCGGGAAGAGCAGGAACCCAGAGAAGACGCTGTTGGCGCCTTCAATGCCCAGCAGGGAGTTCTTTTCGGTGGCCTGCAGAAAGACGTTCTCCCCCTCCGCCAGCTTGAGGACGATGCCGCCCGTGGTGACTTGGAAGGTGTTCTGGACATAGTCACAGAACGTGACCACCTTCTGCATGCGGTCACGGCCCCGCATGAGGTTCACACACAGGTTCCCTCGAGAGCTGGCATGGTAGGTGAAGTAGTAGAGGCCAGGCACCCTGCAGACGAACTTGCCACTACGAGGTTCATAATTGTTGTTCGTGTTGGTGATCACGTGCTCAAAGCGGATGGCCTGGTCCTTCCGCAGGGGTGTGTTGATGGTCCGTGTGGCAGAGAAGGCAACTTTCTGTGTAGCCTTGTAGTCTCCCGATTCACCCTTGGGGCCACGGGCTCCAGGAGGCCCTGGGGTGCCTTTGGGGCCCACAGGGCCCTTGGGACCGACTTTTCCTGGTTTCCCTGGAATCCCTGGGTCCCCCTTCTCTCCAAACTCGCCATGGTCTCCAGCCAGCCCTGGTATCCCTGGAAAATCAGAGACAAGGGATCACCAAAAACTAAAGGAAGGGGCCCTGGGCTAAGAGGCAGGGAGCTTGGCTCAGTGACCTTGGACAGGCCCTGCTCCTCTCCGGGCCTCCGCTTCTCATGTGTGAAAAAGGGGGGTTCGTCACAGGGCCTCCAAGTCCTCTTCCAGCCCAGCTTTCCGAGCATGTGATGTGCTTGGCTGCAACAGGGACTGAGGCCCGTGGGGTGGAAGCAGGGTTTCCCTAAGGAAGGTGCTGGGCCAGCCCTCCTCACTAGCCCATACACCACCCTTGCTCAGGCTTAAGCCTGGAGGCCAGATAATTATTGGCACCCACGCTGTCCCTCTCTGTTCCCTCCCCCGTGGCTGACATCCCTAACCAGTCACTCAGTCTTTCTCGTTGAACTTGGAAGGGGAGCTTAGAATCCTCCCATTCCACCACTCCAAGCAGCCACTGCCCTCTGCCGCCCCCCCCCCCCCATTTGGCACACACAAGATAAAACCTCTTTCCCATAGACTGGCAGAGGTTAGGGGCTGAGAACATGGGTTCAGGGGACAGAGAGATGCGCTTTTCACATCACATCTGTCATTATGAGTTGTGCCACCTTGTCTGAGTCAGATTCTCTGAGGCTCCGCTTCCTCATCTGTAAAATGGGGATGATGAGATTTTGTGGGTTTGTGAGGATTAGATGCGATTATTTGGGGAGAGTGGTTGGTTGGCTATGGGTAAATGAATGTATGTACTAAATTTCACAGGGGCCACTTCATGGCAGGAAGTCTCCTTAGAACCCTGGGACAACCCCACAAAAGTATCACTGTCCGCATTTTCCTGGTGAGGAAAGAGCAATTCCAAGAGGTGACGTCACTTACCCTGGAAGTAACCCAGGACCGTGTGACTGAGGTGGGACCCTCTCTCTACCTGGATTTAGTGGGCTCGTCTCAGCCTCAGCATTTACTGGGCTCTTTTGGGCAAGTCAATAGCCTTTCTGGAGATCAGCTTTCCCATCTGTAAAACCGGAATCCAAATTCCCTCCTTGCAAACTTATTGCAAGGGCTCCACCAGCTGATGGATTTACAAGTGTTTTTGCAATCTCTAAAGTGGGCAACTGTGACTTGAGAGGCAGGAGGCGCGGCCTCAGTCTGTGACGCCACATGTATCCCCAAAGTACACAGCACCTTTCTCTCCTTTTACCCCTGGTGTCCCAGGTGTGCCATCAGTTCCTGGTACCCCAGGAATGCCCGGGATCCCAGGAATGGCCGGGTGCCCGGTGCAGCTCTGGGCCTGGGAGACATCTAGGGGACCCAGGAGCAGCAGCAGGAGCACCAGGGGGCCGCCGCGCGAGGTCTTCATCACCGTGCTGTCGTGGCTGCTTCCTGGGGGAGGGGCAGGAAGAAGATGCGGTAGGTTACTACTGTGGGGACTTCTCACTTTCTTTAAAAAATGTATCCATTTAGTCATTCATTCATTGGTTTGTTTGCTCGTTCATTTTTTCAGTCGCTTGTGTGTTCGCTGAGTGGGTCCTGTCCTCCAGACCCTGCTCTGAGGGCTGCGGGTGCCATGGTGAGCACACAGACACGGCACCTGCCTTTGTGGAGCCGACAGTCCAGGGTAAGATAAACGATAAGCAGGTCAACATACAAGTGAACAGAACTAGTTGGAGGCGGTGAGTCCACAGGGAGCTGGGGTGGGAGCAGCTGCTTTTGTGAGGGAAAGTTTTCTAGACGGGGAGGCATCTCTGAAAAGTGAAGGTGCAGAAAGGGCCGGGGTGAGAATGTTGGCGGGGGGTGGGGGAAGGACAGCAGGGGCAGAGCAGGGGGAGGGGTCAGGGCCTGGCGGTGTGGTCTGCAGGTTCTGGATTGTATGCTAAGCGTTCTCATTCATTAGAGCTTCTAAATTTAGGGCGCCTGCGCTGCTTTCACGGAGAACCACTTCACATCCTCAGCGCAGCCCCGCGAAGAAGGAGCTGTTGTTGCTACACCAAAGAGGACCCTGGTGGAAGCTCGGGGTACCAGGTCACTTGCTTGGAGTCACATGGGAAGGATGGCAGCCAGGACTCAAACCCAAGCCCGTCTGTCACTAATGCCGGTGTCCCTGCCAGCTTACCAGCCCACGTCTTATGGCAGGATATTCTTGGGTCCCTCCAAAGGCTGTGGGCCCTGGCGGGAGGGTGGCACTGGTCCCTCCTTAACCCCAGAGAACAAGGAGAAGCCGTGGGCCATCTTGAGCCGGTGGGCCCAGCCGGCGCCGCATGGCATTAATCCTCAGGTTGGACCCAACCTTAAACCTCATCTAGTCCGACCCTTAGCTTATTATTTTTTAAAATCAAGCTGACCTTCACTAACATAAATCTGATCGTTTTAAAGGGAACATTTTGGTGTCATTTAGCGCATTCACAATGTTGTGCACCCACCATCACTATTTAGTTCCAAAACATTTCACCGCCCCAGATGAAACTCTGTACTCAGTTACCCACCCCCCACTCCCATGTCCCCTGCTGCCCCCGACAGCTGCTAAGCTGCTCTCTAACTCTGTGGATTTACCTATGCTGGATATTTAATATAAATTGAATCATACAATATGTGACCTTTTGTGTCTGGCTTATTTCACTCAGCATAATGTTCTTAAGGTTCATCTGTGCTGTAGTCTGTATCAGTACTTTATTTCTTTTTATGGCTGAATAACATTCTGTTGTATGGGCATATTACAACTTGTTTATCCTGTCATTACTAATGGGCATTTGGGAAATTTACACCTTTTGGCTACTGTGAATAGTGCTGCTATGAACATCCATGTACAAGATTTGTTTGAATACCTCTTTTTAATTCTTTTTAATTCTACCTAGCAATGGAATTACTAGAATTACTGCCTGGGGTTTTCTGGTTAATTCTGTGTTTAACTTTTTGAGGAACTGTTAGCCTACTGTTTAGCCTCCTCAATAACATCTCTGCCGAGGGCTCTTCCATCCATAACTTGCACCGCCTCAGTAACAGGTAGCTCACTACTTCACCAGAGCAGCCCATTCTACCTTTGCCCAGATCCAGTCTTCCCATCCTTCAAACCTTGGGTCAAAACCTTTCTCCCTCAGAAAGTCTTCTCATTACCCCTCCGTCCACAGAGTCTGGCCGTTTCCTGCGTTTAAGATGGGAGCGTGGCGCGGTCCCCGCACACCTCCCAGGACAACTGTGGGGACTCGGGTGGGGCTGCGGCTGGGGAGGAATCCCAGGGTTCCCTGCTCCCGTTCAGACCTGCTGCCCCTGCTGCTGCTGCCAGATCCTCACAGCCCTCTGGGGAAAGAGGTTGTGATTATTTTCCCATGTTGCAAGTGGGGAAACTGAGGCTTCAACATTAGAAAGCAACCTGCCCACAGTTACCAGGGAGTTTGTATTGGCCAAACTCCTCTCATCTCTGCCTCACGCTGGCTGGGCCGACCCAGAATTTGGTGCGTGGAGGCCTTCATGGGACCAGAACAACCTGCCAGGTTTTGGCTCAGGTGCTCAGAAAACCAGCCCCACCGCTTCCGTCTGGTTCTCATCGATCCGTTGCCCAAAGCACTGCGTTATGCCAGGCTCTGGGCTGGCAGGCTGCACAGGGGGCTGTGACCAGGACGGAGAGTGGCTGGCTTGGGCTCGGCCATGCTCCGGAGAGAGAGTGATTCAGGGGACTCTGCTTATTTTTGAATGACCATCAGTTCCCACTGTAGCTGAAGGTTTCACAAAATGACAGTTTGACAATGTTAATAATCCACGTGTTGAGCACTTAGCAGGTACCAGGCTCTGTGCCAAACACTCAACACACCATGATCTCATTGAATACGGTCCCTACAACAGCCTCTTGAGAAAGGCACTCCTGATTTCTCATTTGACAGATGAGGAAACTGGGCACAGAAACAACAAGAACCTCGATCAAGTTCTCGCAGCCCCGTGGGGCTGGGATTCAAACCCACGCCCATTGGGCCGTAACACTCACAGGGTGTTAGGTTAGGAGGCTGCGGTACTTGGTGGTTGCAAACATGGGTCTTGCAGCCAGAAGGCCCGACAGGAGGTGCTACTGTGCGGGCTGCACTTGGAGCCGTGCTGCGTCCCAGGCCAGTGCCCGGTGAAGGAGGCTGTTGTCATTGCTGTTGCTGTTAGGCAGCAAATGCACACCAGTGGTGAGGGGCCTGGGGTGTCATAAGGAAATCAACTGCCAGGGTCCCCATCAGGCCTCTGCTACTTCTTAGCTAAGGGCCTCAGGCCGGTCACTTCTCCTCTCTGGCCACGGTTGCTCCTATAAAATGGGCTAATACTACTCTCTACCTCATAGGGTTGGTGGGAGCACAGGTGCATTAGGGCTTACGACAGGGTCAGGCATACCAGAAACGCTTACTGAATATTAGTTACTTTTAAAATTATCCCCATCAGCCCTGGCTGGTGTGGCTCAGTGGATTGAGTGCTGGTCTGCGAAACAAAGGGTCGCTAGTTCGATTCCCAGGCAGGACGCATGCCTGGGTTGCGGGCCAGGTCCCCAGTGGGAGACATGCAAGAGGCAACCACATATTGTTATTTCTCTCCCTCTCTTTCTCCTTCCCTTCCCCTCTCTCTAAATCTCTCTAAAAATAAATAAATAAAATAATAAAATAAATAAAATAAAAATATTCAAAAAAAATTGTTCCCATCATCTAAGAATCCCATCCTCTATGAAAGAGGATCGGTCCCTTTGAGAGGTTGGGCTCAGGGAAAGGGGGCATCTCAGGGGTAGAGAGAGTCCACCAGGGAGGTGGGGGTGTCGGGGAGCCGGGTCCTGACCTTTGATGAGACTCAGGCTTCTTGGGGAAGTGGGAGGAAGGGGAGTAGGTTGTTGGAAGATCTGGGTTCTGGTTCATTGTAGGGGCTGCTGAGTCTCATCTGGTGTGGCCCCCCACTGCCTTTTCCAGGCGTGACCGCCATCAGCCTTGCCCCTTCCTCATGCCTTTCCCTGCATCGCTGGCCCTTCTGTCTCCTTCCAGCCCCAACAATTCCTTTATCCCTGACGTGGAGCCAGGCCAACTTGACCTTGAACCTTCCACCCTTTCTGCTGCTACCTCCCTGTGTGACCTCAGGCAAGAGCCCGAACCGCTCTGAGCCTCTTTGGAAAAGCTAATTTCTACCTGACAGGGCTGCCAGAGGATGAAATGAGATGGGACCTAAAAAAATAAAAATAAAAAAGAGGCCCCTGGTGTGGTACAAGTCAAACGTTTCCTTTGAAAGAGCCATGCTAAGCTTTCTCAGCAGAATGCGAGGAAGTAAGAGAAGGCAGGTGATGGAGAAATGCTGTGCTGAGTGGAGGGGGACCTGGGTTCTGACATCCCTCTGCCTTTGATGTCTTGACCCAGATGGTTTGCTAAACACTGGGTGATCTTGACCTCCTTTAGGGCACATAGACCCCTGAAAGTTTCTGTTATCCCCAGCGAGGGTCTCAGGCGAGAGGTTGTAGGACTTGCCCCCGATCACCAGCACTTAAGAGGTAGAAGCAGGACTCAGCCTGAGTCCTGGTGACCACAAAGCCCTTACACAGGTGGCTCCCATTTTAGGCTGCCTCCCCATCACCTGGGCCCTAGGTAGCTGCCGATCCCCAAGTTCACTTCCAGAGAATGTGATTCCCCAGGTCTAGGCCCAGGCAGGAGTCCGCACTGTGGGAATCACCACCCTCCGCCCTGCTGCTCCTGCCAGCCAGTGCCCCCACGTACTGAGCCCCATACTCACCTGGAAACCTGGTGTCCAGTGATGCCGTTTGGCTGCACAGCAGTGGGACCAGGAGCCGCGAGCCCAGTGCTCTCAGTCCAAAGCGGAAGTTCCATTCCCCAGAGACGGAAGGGCTTTCCCTTGACAGCCCCCTCCCATGGGCTCAGCAGGCTGTTCCCCCTCCTGGTCAGCCGATGCTCACCCTGTCCTGCTGCCTTCAGGCAGTTTCAGGTCCTGTTTCTACAATGTGGAGGGACTTACTGTAAACAGGGCGGACCGGTGGTGAGCTTGGTTTCGCCAGCTCAGCAGCCCTGGAGGGAACAGGCTGTCCTGGTAGAATGCCCACAGCTGGTGGTTCGGCCCCAGGGCCCCTGACCTCACGATCTTCCAAGGGAACAGGGGTGTTCCTCCGTGAAATGAAAACATGGCCGGCCTGGCACCTGGGCGCTGGATTTGGAGTCAGAAACCTTGATTCATAACCTGGTTCTGCCACTTACCAGCTGAACATTCTCAGCCAGAGGAGCCCAAGGGAGTTCCATTTCCTCTGTTACATGATGGGACCATAATTACACCTGCTCTAGGAATCACACGGGGCGCTGAGGGGCTCAGATGGGCCAGCGGAGGAGAAGGGAGGGCAAGCTGTGAGGTGCATGTCCCTGTTCATTGTCACTAGCATGCCACGTCCCAGGCTTTCTCTTTCAGGGCATCTCTTCTCTGCTCTCTTCCCATTCTGCACCCTTGCTCTTTCCCTGTTCTCAGAAAAATAATCCAATAATGAAGAATGAATTTTAAATGTGGTCATTATTTATTTATACCAGCAGGACTTGAAGCTGGTGACAACAATAAGCACAGGCAGGGGCCTGTTTCTTGTGGATCTTGGAAGCACACCAAGTTAGAGCTGGAGAGGGGCTTGGAGGCCACCCAGACCACCCCCCTCATTTCAAAGATGGGGAAACTGAGGCCCGGAGGGTGCCCTGCACGGGAAGAAAGAGCCACGAGCAGGTCAGCCCTGGTTCCTGCGCCGTCCACGGAGCACCTCTCCTACTGGGAGAGACCCGTGTGAACCCAGTGACACATGGTTTCATTGTTGCTGTGATAAATGTCACTGAAGAAAGGAGTAAATGCTGGAGCCCAGAACTCATGTAAGTGGCAGATGCAGGACCCGGAGCCAGGCATCTGGCACCAGATTCCAGCCCCTTTCTGGGGCTGCATCTCAGGCGACATGATACCCTGTTCGGGGTTGGTCACCCAGCAAGCACTGGAGCTGGTGCAGGTCACGTGGCCCGTCATGATGTCTATTCTCGGAGATGGAAAATCGTTGGGCCTGTGGACGCTGCCTGATGGGACTTGTTAACTGCAGTGTGTGATAGGAAAATGGAAGAGTAGTTTGATAAAACCGAAAGGACTCAGGCCTGGGTGAGCATGGGTTGGTGGTGGGTGCAGGGAAGGGAGAGGGGGATGAGTCGGTTGCAGGTCCAGGAGTCCGTCTGAGGGTTCCTGAGGCCATTTGGGCCTGGCCTCTAATTCTGTGGTGGCCGATGGCAATGGGAAAGAATGGGACTGAGCCTGGGGTACAAGCAGCGCAGAGGAGGTAGAGGCATGGCTCTGGAGTCGATCTCTCCCAAATTTGAATTCCAGCCCTGCCTTTTTCTGCTACGTGGCCTCAGGTACATTTACCGACCTCCTGAGTTTGGTGTGGGCGGGGGACAGTAAGGGGCCCAGCTGAGTGCTCGGCCCTTGGTGGGCACAATGCAAACCTGGGAAAAGTATGATTTATGTGAAGGGCCAGAATTCTTGGAGCCTGGGAACGTAGGAGATATGCCTGGATCAGGGGGAGGATTAGACCAGGGATAAGGAACAAGGGGTCTCTGGGTTTTAGCCCCGGAGTGGGAATCAGCTGAGGTCCGTGCCCATAGAATTGCTGACTCACATCCATTCTTGAAGAAAGAAATCAAGATCCTCTCAATCTCCAGTGGCGTGAGAGATTCCTTCCAGCTTGGGTGTCTCATTCTGGCTCCTGTCCTACTCCCACATCCCCCTCGCCTGCCCCCCGTAAAAGTGCTCCCCCATTCCTCTCAGCCCAGCGGAGAAGCTGGTGTTTTCAGAGACCTGTCTCTCCTGACAAAGAGACAACCACAGGGAAACAATTACGGAAAATAAAAACGGCACTGAAACTGCCATTTCCAAAGTACAGGTTTCTGATCTGACACGGAGGCCTACATAAATGGCATATTGATTTTTTTAAGCAGAAGAGAACTGAGAAGAAAGACAGATCACCGTGGGCACTGCTAAGTGGCTGATGGAGGGGCGCTGAGAACAGAGCGGCCCGTGACCCCGGCTGTGTCCCTGTCAGACGCACCCGGGCTCCGTCAACCAGGCAGGGCTCTGTTCTTGCTTTGTGTGCGTGTCCTTATCTGTCCCTTCTTCCCTACCACGTACAGGCACGTGTCAAAGCGGCCCTGCCCTCGAGGAGGCTTATGCTTCAGCGGGGGAGGCCGATCTGTAAGTGAATGAATGCATGGAAGCCAGTTGGCGTACCACGAGAAATTGGCTTCACCTGGACCCACAGTTCTGTCCTCCCTGAACCTTTATTTAAAAAGAAAAAAACCCTTGGGTCCAGAAATATGTGTTTGTTTGTTTGTTTGTTTTGTAAATAAGGCTACAGGTAGTTATGTTGCAACATCAGGTTTGGGAGGCTGGACTCTAAAGGGTCACGATTTTGTGGTCCAAGTCTGTGACGGGCACTGTGGGAACACGAAGGAGAGTATCAGAGAAGGCTTCGTGGAGGAGGTGATCTTTGTGTTGAATCCTGATCTTTGAGTGTATAGTGTATCCAGGTGGATGGAGGAGTTGTATGAGTGAGGCGGGGACTGTCAGGACGAAGGGAACACCACAGGCAAAGGCTCGGAGGCGTGAAAGAGCCCGTCTCAGGAACAAAGGTGCAAAAGTGGATGGAGGTGGTTGTAGGGCGGGACTCAAGCCACTTCTCTTACGGCCCGCCGCCACTGGCCAGGGCCTCCGCGAGCTCTGTGAAGACTCGTGGAACCGAGCTCAGATCCCAGCCAGGCTGGGCAGGTTGTTGCAGATCTGAGTGAGTCTCCCTGGGCTCCAAGGCCAGGCCTGCAGTCTGCACAGGAAGGTCAAACTTTTTCTTTTCCAACCTGAACTGTCAATTCCTTTTCCACAGGGAAAGTATTGCGGCTGATGGCCTCCTAGTCCTGCAACAGGGATCGTGGTGGCTGGGCCCCTCCGGCAGGACCCTCACAGTCAAGTCCTGACAGCTTGCAGGCAGCGGTGGTTTTAGGTGGTCTCTTGGGGGCTCCCAGAGTCTGTTGGATGTCCGGGAGGTAGACTCTCTCTTTCTCTCTCTCTAACCTGTGCATGCCCACCACAGAGCTTGGCTATGACTACTAAATAATTTAATAGATTGGTTAGCATAATGCCTAGTGCATAGTAAGAATTCAATAATCTTAGCTCTTAGGATGTTTTTATTCACTTATTCATTTACTTTCTTAGTCATTTATTTACCCACTTACACATTCATTCATTCACCCCAATTCACTCATTCATTTCAACACAAATTCATTGTACATCTCTTTGTCTATGCCGGGCTTCCCTGAGCCCAAACCCCTCCTGTGACAGGGGCTCCTGAAATTCAGCATAGGTCAACATAAGTCTGGGAATTCAAACACACTCCCATTTACCGGTGAGCACAGATACTTCTAATGACAGCAGTGCCTCTCACAAGTGACAGCAGATGGCCCCTTGGGGACCCCTTATAGTCTTCAGCCACACTTGACCATCTCGCTCCCAAATGGCCTAATGTCTCACCATTGGCACCAACTTTTACTGAGCCCTGACGAGATGCCCTGTGTGAGCCTAGAGCCGACAGACAGCTGTGGCAGGTGCATCTCTGAAGGTGGAGAGACCTGCTTCTTCAAGGTGGCAGAGAGGAATCAGAGCCATACGTATTCATTGATTTAATCATTTATTTGTATGTCTCCCTGAGTCTTTCAACACTTAAAAAAAGGAACGAGAGTACCAGAGGTGTTGGTTAAGTGTCAAAGCAGTGGATCCTGCAGGAACTCAGAGAAGGGAGGGCGCTCAGGGGGTGGGTGTCAGGGAGGGCTTTCTGGAGGAGGAGTCCATCAGGTGGGGAGAGTGGCCTGAGCAAGGGCGTGGCACAGCGGGTCCACGCAAGAAAGCTGAGGGAGGTGGGGTGGCCGGGGGCAGGAGTGGACGCACCCCCCTAGTCAGGGAAGAGCAGGAAGCCGGAGAAGACGCTGTCAGAGCCCTCTGTGCCCACCATGCCGTTGTAGTCGTTGACCGCCAGCCACACCTGGTCTCCCACCAGCAAACGCAGCAGCACACCGCCGGAGCTGACCTGCTTGGTGTTGGACATGTGGTCACAGAAGGTGATCACCTTGATGTTGTTGCGGTACAGCAGCACGCACAGGTTGGCCGTCTGTGATGTGTGGTAGACGAAATAGTAAAGGCCGGGGACTTTGCAGGTGAACTTGCCCGAGCTTGTGTCATAATCCCCCTGTGGGTTAGTGATGACCGTGTTGAACTTGACCACGCTGTTCTCTGTTGGGTACTGGACTGTCTGCCGTGTGACCGTGAACACTGACTGGTGCTTCTGCTTGTATCTGCCTTCCTCTCCTGGCTCCCCGGGGGCGCCCATGAGTCCAGGGATCCCTGGCAGCCCGGGGGCTCCCATGGGGCCATTTTTCCCAGGAATGCCAGGTGTGCCGGCTTCTCCCTTCTGACCCTTGGGTCCTCGTGTCCCAGGAATAGCTGGGATTCCTGGGGAGAAAGCAGGCAGGAAGGAAGTGATGGGGCAGGGGACAGGGGAGGGGGATGCTGGGTCTGGCCTCCGGGGCACCCGCCACTGGGGTTTGGTCTCTGGAATCTCTTTCCACCAGACGCACTATCCACCTGGGAGCAGTGTGCAGGGAACAGCCTATAAGCTGGTCAGAGGGTTCATGGCCTGCCCCCTGCCCCCACCGCATACAGACTTGCCTTCTGACCTTGGCAAAGACACCTGTCTCTTGGCCTCAGTCTCCGCATTTGTGATGAAGAGGGTAGGACTAGCCAGCTCAGGGGTCGTCAACGGTGGGATCTCACTGTGTCAGACTGTCAGCCACGGGCAGCATGCTGCCTCAGAGCCCTTCTATTCAGCCTATTTAGAGCCTAACATTAAAAAATTCAGACCTCACCTAAAAGTCTAGTTTTTCTTGACAAAAACCAGAAGGTTGGTCAGACGCAAACTTCCCGGGAAGCTCATGAAACTTGTTCCAATTTCTATTACTGGCATTGGCCCCTTCAAGAGCCTTTGCCTAGTTTTATATATATAAAGTTTTTAAAATTTTTATGTTAAAATAATTACATATTCACAGAAAGTTGGGGGGAAAAAAAGGCAAGAAGGTCCCATGGGTTTTTCACTGATTTCCCCAGCGGCCCGTCTTGCCTACCTACAGCACCAAGTCAAACCCAGACGTGGGCCTTCGCGTGATTCCCAGAGCTCTGCTTTCGCACGCTGTGTGTGTGTGTGTGTGTGTGTGTGTGTAGTTCTAATGCAATTTTGTGGCATGCGTAGATTTGTGTAATACCCCCTTCATGCAATCAAATGTGTCCCTAATTTTGTATTCTTTTTCATAAAGAGGGCCTTCAAATTTCACAAGTTTCCGAGCCCTACAAACCCTCTCTCTGTTCCCCAGGCCAGCTTAGTATGAGGGGACCACCGGATGGGGACAAAGCAAAGCTGCCCCTTGAAGGGGGCTGCTCTCTCCGGCTCCCCCAACCCAACTCAGCCCACTTCAGCCCCTTATGACAGCCAGCCTGGTTCAACTTGACTCACTTTGAAGATGGGACAATGAAGGCCAGAGACTTGGCCAAGGCTATGTAGCTGGTAAGAGGTGGAGTCAGGACTCAAAGTCAAGTCAGAATGTCTGATTCTTGTTACCACCCCGATCATCTGCGCCTCTGTGAGATTTTTCTGCCCTTGTTGAAACCATACTCATCTTTTAGGGCCTGATGTGTTTCCTCTGCCAGGAAGCCCTCTCTGACCACCCCTGCCTGCCCTCCTGGCTGCTTCCTCCTCTAGCTTCCTTAGGGGCGGATGTCTGTGCAAACCCATTTGTGACAGATTCTCTACATGTTTTGTGGGACCTTTTAGGTCCCAAGGTTAGGAGTCGGAGCTCAGGACCCAACAGACCTAGGTATCAGGCTGTGTGACCATGGGCAGGTGATTTCCCCTCTCTGAGCCTCTTTTGCCCAGTTGAGATAAGGGCATAAGGGACCGGACCCTGCAGAGCCACTGGAGAGTGGGATGGGAGAATGCCCGTGCCGGACACCTCACAGGAAGTACTCAGTAAATGGCTGTCAGCGATGCTGAGCAGGGCCTCGTCTCATCCTTCGAGATGCCATCCAGCATCTGATTGGGAGGGGCAGGACTCAGCAGTGGGGAGGGGGCCTGAGAGGCAGTGGACGGTAGTGGTTAAGGCAACAGCCTTTGGAGTTGGATAGGATTCTACTGTGTGACTTCAGACAGGTTACTCAATCTCCCTGAACCTCAGCTTTGACATTCATCAAAGGGGAGTAAATCACTTCTTCAAAGGATTTTGGCCACAGTTTTGCTCACTTGCAAAAGAGTTAACAACTTTATCAGCCCCACTTGGAACCATGCCTGGCACAAGGAGGAGCTCCAGAATCGGTGGCCCTCTGCCACCCCGGGCAGTGAGATGGCCAGAGGCAGCCGGAAGACAGGGTCTCCCCATAATGGCACACCTGGGGGTCCTCATTCAGCTCACCCTGAATTGGAGAATTTCTTCTGGAATGTCAGTAAAATTCCATTCCATTGCCAAGAGGGAAGATGACAGGAGGCAAAATTCCTAAGGACATTCCTCTCCACTGGCTCCCCACCCCCGCACCCCCTGCCTCCCCCATCACCCCTGCCCAACCCCACCCCAGTCGCACACATGCCACCTCCAAACACACTCTACCTCCCAGATGTGCACCTACTTTCCAATGAGGCACCAAAGACTCCAGTCTCTCCCAGCACCAGCCCCGATCACGGCCTCAGCCCCCTTTACCTGGGCGGGAGCTTGCCCGTGAATCTCCGGTAGAAGGTCCTATGGCTGTGATCCCGACTTCTCACCCCCACCCTCCAACTGCCCAGATCTTAGGGAGAAGGTGAGCACAGATTTCTGGTGAAAACAATGATCGCAGCAGGAATAACCACCATGGCCTACGCTTCCCAATGCCTACCATGTGTTCAGTACTGTTTTTATAACTTAATCATCATAGCTCCCCTGTGCAGTAGGCACTACGACCTCCCCATTTGACAGCCGAGGAAATGGAGGCACCAGATGGTAAGTAAGTGCCTGGCACAAGTTCACACAGTGGGAAGTGGTGGGGCTGGTATTTGAACCCTGCTCGTCTGTGCATTGTTTACATTCCATGTGTGGGTTCCATCTTCCCCAGGGGTCCATGTTGCAAGGTGAGTAGTAGAGAGGTTGTAACAAAACAATAGCTTAGTGTTTTGGAGTTTGCCAGAGGTTTCCCCGTGGATCCTGTCCTGTGATCCTCTCTGCTGCCTTGTGGGCGGGTGCCTGTCTTCCCTCCCTAAGCTCAGATGAGGAACCCCTGGGGGGCCTCGGGCCTGGGCTCCGAGAACAGGGGCGCTACACCTGTCGTGGGAGCTGGACTCTGCCCTGGGAGCGGGTGTGGCAGGAGGGACCAGGCTCCTTGCCATCAGGTTGCTGTCCTCCTTTCCCCAGGTCTGCCCCTGCGGCCGGGCCCCGGGTGGCCCCCCCGCCACGAGGCCAGCCGGCTCACCTGGTTCACCCTTGGGCCCTTGCAGTCCGTCGTGCCCATCCTTCCCTGGGGCCCCGGGCAGGCCCGGCATGCCGGGGATCCCGTAGCATTGTGTGCTGGCCTGGCTCTCGGGTGGCAGTGCCGCCAGCAGCAGCAGCAGCAGCAGGTTTAGTCCAAGGTGGGGCCAGGAGCTGGAGCCCCTGTCCATCCTGGGGAAGGAGCTGGATGGGGAGAGCTGGGTCGGCCCACCCAGCCCCTCACTCACCCTCCTAACCCTCTCGCTCCTCAGGGCTCCTCCTTCTCCGCCCTCAGGAACCTACCTCCCTTCCCTGGGCCCCCCACCCCTCAGGGACCGCACCATGGATGGAAGGGCAGTGGGGTGATGTCTTTGAGCTCAGGCCCCCAGCTTAGCGGGGGTGGGGACCCCCCTTTCTCTCACAAATCAGGCAGTCCCTGGGGCCGTGCTGGGGGAAGGTGGTGGGGGAAGTATCTACCCTTTGCCCTCACCTGGACAGGGGTCCTGGCCTCACCTGGGGGTAGGAGGTTTCTGGTCTGGTCACTGAGACGTCTTCCGACCTGCTTCCCTCTCCAAGGCAGGAGGACACGTCTCAGAGTGGGCGCAGCAGGGAGGGCCCCGCGCGGAATGCACGGCCCCCGCCTCTCACCCCCACCCCGTCCCACATCCCCTTTCCCACATTTTCTCCTGACTCAATACTTTCTTTGGGTGCTGAGCCAGGCTGACCACAGGGACACTCCTGGGTCCCCCCACTCGGGGTCATGAGTGTCTGAAATGAGGAAACGTCCACCGCCCCGGATCTGGCGGAGGGCGTGTGCGCGCCTGTGCCTGGTAAACACCAGCCTGCTGGGCAGACTTCCCCTGGAGACAAGCTCGGCCCATCTGATGTCCACCCCCGCTTGTTGCCATTTGCAGTGCTCAGACTCAGTTGTTTCACAACATCCCCCGGAGGAAGTTATAACCTCCTGTTACAGATGAGGAAACTGAGGCTCAGGGAGGTGAAAGTGTTTGCCCAAAGTCACGCTGTGTGTGTTTTCTTGGGGTCCAAAGCCTTGCTCTGACCCCTCTGCTTAGCTGCCCACAGAAACAAGCTTCATATGCACTTGTCAAGTGGCAGGCCTTCTTCTAGAAACTTCCATATGCCCCCCCACCCCGGCCCCATATCACAGTTGGGGGTGGACGCCCAGGATGGGTAAGCTTTGATGGCGGGCAGCCGGCGGCATTGTTCAGACTCCCCTGGCTACTGTCAGTGGCCTCGGGGGTTTATTTCCGCCCCCTTTCCCTGAGGCCTCCAGCAAACCGCTGACCCTACCCAGGTCTGTCTCCCATCCATTCACTGGATGGTGGAGAAGGCCGACCAGGGCTTTGCACACTGGTGCCTCTCCCTTTGCCAGGGCCCCGATGAGCTCACCTTCCCTGCCAGTGCCGCCTCCCTCACCTGCATCCCCGGCACCCCTGCCTCTGGTCTGGGGGCCTCCTGGGGCCGGTGAGGGGTTGCCAGTCAGGGTCGGGCTGGCCAAGCTGAGAGAGGCGCCCTCCTCTCTTCCTCTTCTCCTTATACAAGATTCCAGGGAGGAAGGAGGTGTCAGGCAGTAGAGGGTCCCGACCCTGCCCCCATTCCTGCCACCTATGTCATTCAGCGTCGGTTCTTGCTCTGCGAATGGGGGGTCCCACTGGCTCTCAAGCAGGGCTGTCGTGAGGACTCCATGTGATAGATACACACGATACTTAGTCCTGTGCTGGGCATGCGCAGGAGTTCAGATTCCTGCCCCAGCCTCCCCAAGTGACCCTCAGGGCCTCAGCCTCCCTACCGGCTCCTCCGCGCTCTGGCACGAGGCTGCAGAGTGTGGGACCAGAGCAAAGGTGTGAGTGCGCTTGGCCCTGGGAGTCTGGGGTGGGGGGAATGCATGGATTTCACCCGAGCTCCCATCTTCCTCCCCTCATGTGCGCCTGGGTCTGCTTTTTCCAGCAGATGGCAGCCTCTGCCTGTGCTCGGCACTTCCCTGCCCCGCCCGCTGGTCCAGCTGGGTCCCTTCCTTCCAGAGGGGGCAGTGACTTGCCTGGCAGAGGTGTGTACATATGGGTGGAATTCAGGGTGAGGCAGAGCCAGCAACCGCTATTTCTATAGCCTGGTCTCTCCTGCCCCCTTGGGGCTCCACCGCTGACATTTTCTTTGTCTCACTGCAATGAGAGAAGCCCTCCACTCCAGGGTCAGGCAGAGCTGGTTCAAATCTAGGCCCTGCCACTTCCTGGCAGCGTGACCTTGAATCAATGTCTTCCTTCTCTGAGCTTCAGTGTCCTCATCGATTTTTCTGGGGTTAAACGCATCGGTGACCGTGAATAGTCCAGCATAGAGCAGATGCTTGAAGACTTGTTTCTCTTCCCAGTCCAGGGGTGGGTGTGTTCTGGGGGGCAGGAGCATCCTTAGGGCAAAGCGGGGACCCAGTGGGGGCTGAGGGCCCTGTAGAGTCCAGCCCTGCCCCAGGGCTCCAGGGGGTGCCTCCCTTCTTCCTGACTCCAAAGGCTTTTGGCTGGGCTGCCCCAGGAGAGGGTCCTGGCTGTGTGTTGGAGGCAGGGGTGGTGCGTTTTGTGTACTTGAGACTCCGAGGCTGCTTGTGTGTCAGCTAGTGGTTGGGGAAGACAGTTCTTGTAGGGTGACAGCAGTGCGTGGGCAAACATGGGCATTTCTAAGGCACGTACGTGTTGGAGGGAGTAGAGGACATATACGCCTATGTGCCAGGGGTGTATCTGGGGCACCTGTCTCAAGGTGTGTTTGTAAGAGCACTTCGGATGGTTTACAGGGGGCCCTCAGGTGTGTAGGTGTGTGAGGCAGGGGTGTGTAGGTGGGACAGCACATGTCCTTCCAGGTAGCTCTGTGGGTTTGTTGGCATAACCCATGTGGATGTCCAGGGGGTGTGCACGGGTGTGTCTAAGAAAGTGGGTTTGTGCTGAGGGGGAGATCGTGTGGCCGTGTTCTAGTGAGGAGTGGACAAGTCTTGGTCCAGGAATGTGGGGAGGCGTGCATTTGTGGTGAGTGTGTGTGTGCATGTGCGTAGGCGTAGCATAAAGACAAAACCGGCTCCCTCTGGGAAAATGCACAGGGCATTGGACACGTTCAGGACTGAATTCTGCTCTCCTTATTTTTCTCACATACGAAGGACGTACTGGACCAGCTGCTCGCTCCTGAGCAGCTCCTGGATGGGCTGAGTGGGACCTTGGGAATGAGCCATGAACACTCCAGACCCGCCATGCCAAGCCCTGTCTCAGGCACTAAGCCCAGCAGGCCAGCAGCCCCAGCCTCCATGCTGGCCAGGTTTGAAGCGCAGGGTTGGACTCCGGAAGCTGCCTTTGGAGAGGACTGCTGGATGCCCTTGGGCCAATTGCTCCCCCTCTCTGAGCCCTGCCCCTGCCTTTCCGGTCATTTGTCACATGTGTGGCTGTGAAGGCTGACAAGGGTAGCAGGTCAACACCCAGGCTCAGGCACTAGGGAGACTTGGAGTTAAATCCTGACTCCTCCCCTCAAACACTGAGCTGGGCTTGATGTCTGCGCCAATGCTCAGCCTCTGTTTTATTACCTGTAAAATAGGGTCATAAAACCCACTCCAGAGCTCGACTAAAGATTATACAAAATGTAATAATGGCCAAAACTCATGGAGCCCTTACAATGAAGCAGGTACTGCACTGCTCTTTTCACATATTAAGTCATTTAATCCTCCCTCAAGCCTCTGAGGTAGCTGCTATTATTATTCCCACTTTAAAAACTGGAGAATTGAGGTTCACTGAAGTCACATAACCTGTGCACAATTGGACCACTAGTAAGTGGCAGCCTTGGGACTTGAACCCAAGCTGATGAGGCTCCCAAGACCTGTCAAATTGTCATTCTTATGCCTCCCTCCCAATGCTCAGGGTAGCAACTGAATCTCAAGCCAGCAGACATGGACACAGGTATTTATTCCAGGAAGCACTCCAGGAAATGATTTTTCTTCAGCTAAAGCCACAGCACTCCACTTGACAGAGCAGAGCAGAGACACCAGGGAGGCTGAGCGAGTGGGCCCGGGTCACACAGCAGGAAGCAGATGAGGCCAGGGGTGAAGACGGGTCCTGCTCTTGTTCAGGTGGATGGGAAGATGAGGAAGCCGCTGAAGACGCTGTCCGCCTCGGAACCCTGATAGATACGGCCCTTTACAGGGTCTTTTTCGATCCAGACCTGGTCTCCTCTCTGAAGCTGGAGCACCGTGCCCCCAGACACCACCTGGAAGGTTCCCTTGCTGTTGGCATCACAGAAGCCCAAGGTGCGGATGCTCTGGCCCCTCTTGGAGGACACGATGTACAGGCAGATGTCCCATTTGGACACCACCTGGAAGGTGAAGTAGTAGTAGCCTGGCACAGCGCAGACGAATCGGCCCGAGTGGCTCTCGTACCGATCTTCCTCGTTGGTGATGACGGTGTCAAAGATGACCACGTTGCCGCCCGTTGGGGGGTTCCGCCTCACGGCCGAGAAGGCTGGTCGTGGCTGGTCATTGATATTCCCCGGGCTGCCCTTGTTGCCCTTCCGTCCTGGGATGCCAGGGGCACCAATGGGACCACTGGGTCCTGGGTAGCCCATTTTGCCAGGGCTTCCGGGGGGCCCAGGGTCCCCCTGGTCTCCTTTAAGACCTCGGATGCCTGTCCGGATGCCAGAGGCCCCTGTGGGGAGGAAGACCAGATTGGGAGTGAGAGTCTAGTGTCTGCTCGTCCTTGGGAAGATGGCTGGGACCCTGGATGCTGTGGGTGGGATAGTGGATAGGGATGTGCCTGGGCCTTCAAGACATTGGTTCTGGCTGGCTTTGTGACCTTGGGCAAGTATCTCAACCTCTCTGAGCCTGATTCTTTATCGATAAAATGGATAGAAGCGTGAACAAGCATGAGGGGAAGTGTCACATTCTGTGAAAAGCAGGACACAGGCTTCACTGCTGTGCTTCTGCCCATGGACCTGCACTCCGCACGCAGTTTTGCGGTGCCTACATACAAATCGTTACAGACATCTCTGCAGATCTTCCTGGTCTGCTACGGACCGCGAGGTCAGCAGGGTTACACAAGACTTTCCTTGCCCACTTTGGTCATGTCCTCCCCTCTTTCCCTTCACCCCCAGGCTTTTCATGCAAATTCACGCCTGAACAGGCTGGAAAGGAGGAGGAGGGAGAGAATGGGGGGGGGGTAGATGAAAAGAAGCAAAAAGGATAGTTTCCATTAAGTGATACCTCTCTATATGCCAAGTGGGGTTATTTCTCTATTTTACAGATGAGGAAACTGAGTCTCAGAGAGGGTCACACAGCAAGACAAGGGCTCCAAGTCTAAAACCTGAGGCATTAATCATTCTGGCAAAAACGACCAAGGACAGGGTACTGCGTGAGGACCAATCTTTATTGCTTGCCGTGACCCATTCCCCAGAGGAGGGAGACAAGGCCAGGGAAAGAGGGCCCAAGCAGTTAGGAGGATATGGAGAGGCCTGGGGGTCTGGGGACACAGCCCAGGGAGAAGGCTGCCCCATCCCTCAGATTATGGGACCAGGTGAGACTGGAGGGGCTTTACGTGGGGGTTCAGGTGGGCTCCTGCTCTTTGGTGCCGCCCCCAAGCGTCCATCCTGGAGCCCAGGCCAGGTAAAGCGATGAAGGGCTGGGGTCTAGAGGGAGGTACTCACCTGGCTCCCCTCGCTCCCCCTTGAGGCCTGGCCGCCCGGGTCGGCCTGGTCTTCCTGCAACCCCGTTCTCCCCATTCGGTGCTCGGCAAACGTCCTGGGTCACCGTAGAGGCCAGGGACATGGCCAGCACACCAACCACCAGCCAGCCCCACGGGGCTTCCATGATGCCACTGTAGAGACACGGCAGGGTCTGGGAAGCCGGACGTCACACACTCGGGAACACCCAGTTCACATACTTGAATCCCCCCTCACAATGATACATCCACACCCCCTTCCAGCTCCAGGGAACGCAAACTTTTATATAGAACCACAAACTCACACAGATGCACACACGCAACTGAGCATACCCATATAATCACACACTCAGACACACAAACAGCCTCTCGCTCACACTCTGCTGGACATGCAGGCCGACACCCAGAGAGACTCCATCCCTCACTCACCTGGACACACACGTTCATATACTCCTACGGATGATCAATTCCATTGAACAAACATTTATTGAGAGGCTGCTCCCTATTTAATTAACACTCTCTCACCCAGATGGCAGAACTGCACATACGCACAGGAATTCACAAACACCCGACGATTCATCTGCTCGCTCCCCTCCACACTCGTCCTCTTTCAGGCTGACTGTCACCCACTGTCCCTCCCTGTGGGACCCCTCTGCTGGGCTCTGAACCTCTCAGCCTTTTCCAGCTTCTTGTGTTTTGGGGGATCAGGACCCAGAAACTCTGGTTAGAGCTGATGGGTCTGTGTCACCACCTCCCACCGTCCCCAAGTCCAAGGAGTTAAGGCCTCCCCCACTCAATGATTCTGGGTCCTGAATAAGTGTCCCACCCCACCCTATCCCGGTGCAGACCAGCTAGACGTGCTCTCCCACCCTGCCAGCCTCAGTGGCCCAGCCCCTGGGCCTGCTCCCCAGCTCTGGTCTGCACAGCCCCCTCCCTCTTGGGCCCTGGCCTCACCTGCCTTGGGTGGTCAACTCAACTGGATGATCCTGCTGTCTACCCAGGGACCTCTGTGGGACACCCAGCAGGGTGATGCCGGCCAGTGGCCAAGTTTCACATCCCTTCCCACTTCCCCTTCTCCTTCTCTGGACCTGCCCCTGGCATTGCCTCAGGGGCCTGAGGCTGACTGGGGACATTTTGAGCAGACTTCAGCAAGACTGGGACATTGAACGTCCTACCCCAAGCCACAGTGGGTGTGGGGGCAGGGACAGCAGGCAGGAGTCTGTGAGGACGGAGGGCTGTGGAGGGTATCCTGGGCAGGACTGGTAGAATCAGTCACTTGTAAGACATCCTTAGGATTTGAAAGCAACCACGTGTATGCACCATCCAGAGTTTGTAAATACTGAAAAGCGCAAAGAAAGAACAGTGCAGTAGTAATGAATAGCTTAGTAGTCAGCTTTCTAGACATGTTTCTTCCTACTTGCACATCCTTGGAAAGGCACTTAACCTCCTGAGGCCTTGTTTTTCTTATTGGTAAATTGGGAACAACATATTCTCTACCTCATTGGATTACTATAAAGTTCTAATGATTTAATACACCTACGACACACTCGGCACATGGTAAATGCTTACTAATGAGATTTTATCAACATTTAAAAAATAGTGACAGACCTGGCTGGTGTGGCTTAGTTGTTTGGAGCATCGTCCTATAACCGAAAGGTTGCGGGTTTGATTCCTGGTCAGGGCACATACCTAGGTTGCGTGTCTGATCCCCATTCTGGGTGCAGGCACGGGCGCATACAATCCAGGGTATGGGTGCCAATCGCTGGTCCAGGTATGTATGGGAGGCAACCAATCAATGAACATCTCTCTCTGTTTCTCTCTAAAAAAAGCAATAAAAAAAGATGTACTAGGGTGAGGATAAAAAAATTTAAAAAACAACGACAAAGCCCATAAATTCTGCCACATAGAGAATTGCTATTAGCATTTGGATGCCTTGTCTAGCCTTGCTTGCTCTCACTGATGGGGTGCTCACTACCTGCCAGCACAGCTCATGTCATCATTGCCAGCTTGGACCCTGAGGACACCTCCCTTTAGAGTGAGCGGTCTGTCTCTCCCAGACTGGAGACCAGTGTGTTCAGGCCTGGCTGACCATGTGTTTCTATTTCTTCCTATGACCATGTTTTTTCCCTGAGAAATTTGCCAGAGGGAGGAGGAGAAAAGGGAGGACTGTTATGCACAGGCAGATAAAGATGTTCTGGCCTGGGGTTTTCAAGCTTTCGGTACTCTTTTTTCCCTTGCTGTCTTGTGTGGCACATAATATCTATCCAACAGATACAAACAGGGATGTTTTGGTTTAAAGGGAGGGCCCAGAGCTCCTCCTGCCAGCCCCTCGCTTGCTCCCCCAGATTCAGGATGTTAGGAGAATCTCCGTGGGACCTTGAGTAAGCCACATCATTTCTCTGGGCCTCAGTTTCTTTATCTGTAAAATGGGGATAATACAACCTCCTCGCTGGGCTACTGAGGGGTTATGTAAACTTGCTAGGAAGTTTATACTGTTGAACACCACATTAAAATAAGTCATGTTGAATAGTACCTGTGTGACTTTGGGCAAGTTACCTAACCTCTCTGAGCCTCACTTTATCCACCTATCAAGATGAGGGAGTGGGTTGGAAGCAAAAGGGATTGCCCCAAATGGTCTGCACAACATCCCTTCCAGCATTCGTTTTCTTCTATTGCATTGTTTCAGTTTTGCTTCCCTGTGGAAGGAATTAGAAAAAAATCACATGTCAGAATCAGAACAAACAGCCTGATTGTTCCCATTTTATAGAATAAGAAACTAAAGACCAAAGACAGGAAGACTTGCTCTCATAGAAAGTGGCAGAGTTGGCAGGAGGAAAAGTCAAATACTGTGAAAGGCCTCTTGAAGTTTAGTTTTCAAGGTATTAAATACATACTTCAGCCCTGGCTGGTGTGGCTCAGTGGACTGAGTGCTGGCCTATGACCCAAAAGGTTGCTGGTTCTATTCCCAGTCAGGGCACATGCCTGGGTTACAGGCCAGTTACAGGCCAGGTCCCCAGATGGGGGCGTGAGAGAGATAGCCGATTGATGTTGCTCTCTCCTTTCCCCTCTCTCTAAAACTAAATAAATAAAATATTTAAAAAATTAAAAAGATATTAAATACAAAATTCTTATAGAAACGTCTAGTGAGTACATGCCAATGTTTTTGTAGCTTACTAACGAAGGAACCAGCAAGATGACAAAGCTAGTTCAAATGAAGACTCTGAGAAAAAACATGTATAGACCTCCATTATGGAGAGAAAGGAGTCAGTGAAAACAAAAACAATAGAAATAAGAATTCTAGAATATTCACAAGGTTGCTAAGTTAGTAGAAAACTGGATAATGTCCTATAGGGCAATAAAATCATAATGTTGGGGTTTTCTTCTCTATTAAAAAGAAATCATTTGCATCTCTACCAGACAAAAATAATTTGCAACTTATCAGTTTTCTGCCAGCTAACAGCTATCTTTACAGAGCCTAGGCCTGGATCAATAGTAAACAATAAGTCAAGCAAAGTGACATTCCCCTAGAGTGTCAGACGACCCTTAGGAGGGCTTGTCAGACACTGTGCTAATTTGACTTTGAAAGGACACCAGTTATCTATCTGCCTTATTGCAAAGCATGGGATGATTTTACTTATCAGGCTGTTGCAAGAGCCTAAACACTTCCTTCCGAGGAATAAGAGGCATCGATAGTAATGAACATGTCATTAGCGACAGAAGTAAATGGGTCGGTGATGGCCCGTGAATGTCACCACAGGGCATGTCCAGTCAGAGGGGATAGGCCGTTTCTCCAGGGCTCAGTCTGGTGGAGGGAAGGCAGGGGATGGAAGGGGGTGTAATAAGGAGGAAACCCCTCGTTATTACAGCCTGCACACCTGTGAGGCAAGAGGTCCAGTCCCCGGGTGCAGTCAGGGGCCTAAGGAATAACCAAAAAAATAATCTCTAAATTACTCTCATTGTCTATGGTGGAGTCATGACTTGCTCAAGGGTTGGGTTCCAAAATCAGCCTATTAGGCAAAAATTGGAAATGGTCAATGTTACTGCTAGGAAAGAAAATCTTAGGAAAGCCCCACGCTGGAGACCGTGTTTCATTTTCACAGTAGTTCTTCTATGCTGTCTCTTTTGGCCCTGACATTAGAACAGATATTTCTATTCTTTTAGTTGAGTATCCATTGGCTAATATATGTGTCCTCTTTCAGAAAAAAGAAATTGAATCCTTAAAGATTGGAGTTCTACTCAGTGCTGAGGCACTCACAGGACCTGCGACAGGCTTGGGGACAGCAAGTCCAGTCAGGTCTCCTCCTTTGTGCTCACCCCAGAAATGGGCTCCTTGAGGGTCCGGAGCAATGGCAGCATCCGCTACCTTATTTAAACCAGTCTCTTCAGCTCTCTCTCTCTCTCTGAATCTCAGTAGGCAAAAGGCAGATAGTCAAATGTGTATAGGATATAACTGAATTTCTTGTTTTAATTAAAAAATTGAGGTTTAATTTACATACAGTAAAATGCACAGGTCTGGAGGGATTGCTCAGTGGCTTTTCGTGTGTGTGAATATACTGTTTGCCACCAGCCGGGTCACCCAGATACAGAACCGTTCCATCACCCCAGCAGGTTGCCTCGTGCCCCTTACGTTACCCCCACAGCCCCAGAGTGACCAGTGTGTTCCAACTTCTGTCACCATCGGTTACTTCTGGCTGTTCTTGAACTTCCTGCAAATAGCGTAACTCAACCTGTGCCTTTCGCATCCAGCTTCTCTTGCTTCGCGTGCTTCTGAGGTTCAGCTGCCTCATCGCGCGACCGGCTCAGTTTTCATTGCTGACCAGTGTTCTGTCGTGGGCACATAGAACCCTTTGTTCAGCCCTTCTCCCGGGCACGTTCTGGGTCATGATGAATAAAGCTACTGAGCGCGTTCCTGCACGAGTCCTCCCCGGTGCCCTCTGTGAACATAGACGCTCGGGCCTCTGCTGTCACGTGTGAACGCCAAGGAGAGGCGCAGGCTTTACACCGGTGCTCCCCCCTCTCCCCTCCACTGCCCCACACCTCTCTCTTCAACAGCCTCTTTCTAAAAAAACAAAACAAAACAAAACAAGAACAAAAGCCCTCATGCACCCTCTGCCTGAACCACTTTTTCTCCTTCTCACTTGCTCTTCCCCTTCTCCCTGTTCTTTTCCAGGAAGATTGTCTTCATTTTGTCCTTGTGGCTCAGTCTTTCCCCCCAACCCTAGTGGCCTTCTGGGCCTCTCCTTCTATTCTCCATCCCTCCCCCCAGTAAGACCAGGGTTCTTCTGGGAGTGGGCTGTTTGGGAAAAGCGTGGGGGTGGGGGGTGGGGAGCTGTCCCAGCCTGCTACACATCTTTGGTGCACAGTCTTTATTCTTTGCATCTCTCTTGGCAGACAAAAGCTGTTTTGGGGACCATTTTATGAAAAATGGAGGGAATTGTAGACAACAAATACAATATTAAGGAGATGGAGGCAGCATGGATTCACGCTTGGCGGCTGCCTCCCATTTGCCCTGTTTGGGGCTGACAACGACCCTTCAGTTTGTGGCCAGGCTTCAGATCCATGTGGTTTGTCCCTGACATGTGGCGGGCACTTAGCCAAAGCCCCATCTATCCTTCCTCCCGCTCCTGCCACTCAGGGGGCCAGGGCATGGGGACCAGGTGAGAAGGCCTCCACCCTCCACCCGAGGCCCCAGCTGGAGACCAGCATCCGGGCTGCCCAGAGGGACAGGGAGGCAGCCAAGCCTGTTGGGCAGGTGGAGCAGCTCTGGGAGAAGTTCCCAGCACCAGATCCATCAGGAAAGGTGCTAATGGAAGCCACCAGGGGTGCAGGCAGGTGAGATGTAAAAAGATTAAGAGGATTAGGAGAGAGTTTGGAAAACAAACAGGCTGTGAGAGTCAGCAAGCACACATTGCCTCTGCCTTGTGGGGGCCAGGTCCTGGGTCCTGGGGGCTGTCAGGCCCCCCAGTTAGGGACGGTGGCACCCAGAGGCCAGGATAATACTAGCTCACACAGATCCGAGGGTCCATTGTAGGCATGGGCGAG